TGCCTTAGTCAAAATACATGGTCTGAAATCTTACCCAAACTGCCATGAGAAGGGGCGAATTTTACATGAAACAATGCTCACATCTGTTTTACCAAGCTTATGTTGGTTAACATGTTCCGCTGCTTAGCTCTAAATTGTATTGGAAAGTAGCTTATATTCCATGGGTAGGCCGCTATTGGTCCCATCTCAGGCAGCCATTAATTCTGTGTCACTGTATTTGTGCACCTTCTGTATACGGAAAGTATTTGCATCCATTAGAGGGAAAGTCATTTCCATCTTTTGCATCCATTGATGCAATTCTATTTTTTGTCAAATTGCAGGCAGCAGAAAATAGCAGAAAGGGAAAAAAGGGCAGCTGAGCAACAAAGGAAGAAAATGGAGAAAGAAGCACAGCGGTTAATGAAGAAAGAACAAAATAAAATTGGTGTGAAGCTGTCCTAACAACATTTGCCTTGGTCTCACAGAGCCAGCAGTGGGGAGAGAATTCAGCTTCATCATTTTGTATTGATCTCAGTATTTTTAGAACTCTGGCTCACTACTTATTTTAAAGCCATCTTGGAAGAGACGGTTGGTTCTTCCATAAAGCAACTGGACAGTTCAAACAACGACAGCATCATCCCATTTAATCCCATCAAGGTGGGACAGTGTTTCCTGCAGAAGCCCTATCCCCGTGCACTCCCACTGCGAGAAGAGCTGCTACTTCATAAACTCTTCAAATGCCTGTTTTGAAGCTAAAGGGAAAAGGGTGTAAATAATTGAATGATGGCAATCTATTGTCTATTATGCTTATTACGAGAAAGGTGTGTAATTAAATAATTTTAAAGAATGTGTTGCTTCACTGCTTGTTTTCACAAAACCCTGCCTTTACTGCAGTACTAAGTGCCTCATTATAAATTTTAGGGAAGCCAGTTAAGCTGACAGTGTCATACATAGAAGGATAATTTGCTTAAGGCCAGCCATGACTTCAGGCAAAAAAGAAGATGTTGCTATTATCTTGCTTTGTTCGATGTGCCTGTGATGATGTTTGCTTTCTTGCATCTTTAAACTCCCAAGACAAAAGCCCTGCTGGACGGTTAAGCTGAGATAGCAACTTCTACTTCTCAAACATAGGCAACAGGTGTCTGCCTGCTTTCATGAAAAATTCCAGAACTGCTTGGGTGGTGATCTAGGCATTGCTTATGCAGATTAATGTATCAGTGGCTGCTTCTGAACTTTGAAATCCAAGTTTTAAGGCCACAAAACTCCTTTGATATGCTGAAGTATCAGGGGCGAGGCAATTGTGTAAGTCCCGGCAACCAGATGGGCTTTCCCTCCACCTACAAAGCTGGACTGTACTCCAATGCATGCGATCAGGTTTCTTCCAGCCTAAGTGCAAAGAAGCCTTTCCTTTCCTGGTAATGAAGGGTCATTGCATCTATGCCAAACATCCAAAACTTTGAAGAGTGTGTCACATGGAAATATTGAGTTGTCAGATCAACTTGAAGCTGGCCTCACTAAGGGAAAAATGGGCAGTTGATTGCACAGGAATGAATTGCTCTAGTATGTATTGCTTAATTTAGCATGCTGAGCCAATCCTTGGGCTGTTTGTCAAAGCTGAAGGCAGCTGGAAAAACTTATATGGACTCCTGTTTTCCCAGGTTGCTTGCTTAGGAACTCATCATTCCATGTTTAACTTGCCACTTCTGAAATAGGGGCATTGGTGCTTGTGCTGAGGGCCAGTCTACATTTTACCTTTGTTGTGTAGATAAACGGAGGTAAGATTCCTATGTTAGATTTTAATGTGTATCACTGGCCCTATTTTTCAGGTTGGCTGCCATATCAAACGTTTTGGAGTGTATAAGCAGGGATGTGGGTGGCGCTGTGGCCTAAACCACTGAGCCTCTTGGGCTTGCTGATCAGAAGGTTGGTGGTTCGAATCTGCATGACGGGGTGAGCTTCCGTTGCTCTGTCCCAGCTTCTGCCAATCTAGCAGTTTGAAAGCATACCAGTGAAAGTAGATAAATAGGTACCGCTGCAGTGGGAAGGTAAATAGCATTTCCATGCGCTCTGGCTTCTATCACGGTATTCCGTTGTGCCAGAAGCAGTTTAGTCATGCTGGCCACATGACCCGGAAAGCTGTCTATGGACAAACGCCAGCTCACTCAGCCTGAAAGCGAGATGAGTGCCACACCCCATAGTCGCCTTTGACTGGGCTTAACCATCCAGTGGTCTTTTCCCTTTCCCTTTCCCAGCAGGATGGTCACCCATTACAGGAAATATGTAAGCATTTGTCAGTAATTAATGGGATTTAGTAGCAATTAATTTTACTTGGATCACAGCAATTTTTTGAAAGAATCCTTTTTTCATTTCTATTACAGCAACACCTAAAAATATGCCTTTAATCAGTCTATCCTCCAGTTAATTTGCCCTCAGATTTAAATTGGTTCCCAAATCTTTAGTTCTCTACCAACTAAATAGGTTAAATCTTACAGTCCCAATACATAATTTCCCCAAAAGAGTGAATTGATTTCAGTTGTAAATAGTCTATAGACTAGGGTCCCTGAATAATATCTTGGCCAATATAATGATTATTGTTTTTTGTTGTCCTGGTGGTTATATTACTTGGGTAATTAAACTCTGGGTTTTGTACATGAAGGATGTGTATGAATATTTGCTGAATATAAAATAATCAAAACCAGTGGAATTTGTTTCTTATGTGCTTTAAGGGAATGTTGTTTGGCTACACTCTCTACTTGACCCACTCAGTCTCTTAGAAAAGAAAAAATGAAGGTTTATAAAAAGTGGCTTTTGTGGGAAGATGTGGAGAGGCAGACGTTGTCCTTTAATACGAAAGTACATCTTCAATGCATTGGTCTGAATGAGATATTTATTCCTTTTCACAGTCCCACCTAGTTAGTCATACATATTATTGTTTTACTGTGGGGTGGGGTTTTCTTTTGGCTTTGTGAATTGTCCAGAAACTTCCTCTTATGAGGACAGCTATATAAAGTAAATGAATTCAGCAGTGTGACTAGAATTCCACAAACCTGCTCTCTCTGCCACAGTCATTGTAGGCAGAACTGGGCAAGGAATTTCCCCTGTGGTTTTAGCAGGATTTTATTAGGCTAGCCAGAACCAGGGTGGTGGTTACAGGGCAAGGATGGGGAAATGAGCAGACAGCAACTTAAGAATGCAAAGTGGTACTCATGCTCACTGATTACCTTTCCCTGAACCCCAGATGCTGTATGCTCCAGTAGGACTCATTTTCAGTATCCTGAGTCTTAACTAAGGGCAGTGTATGACACCAGGAGCAAAGTTCAATTCAATGCATACGTGTCTTTACCCTTTGCATGAACCGGTTTCCTGCCCTTAACTCAGCTGCAAAACTCCTTGCATCTAGACAACTCACAAGCTTCCCAGACCTAATTTACCTGAAGGTGGTAAAGACGAGGGCAGGTGCTGAATGCAATAAGTGGTAATGAACAAGGTCTTTCTCTTCTTTGGTCATGATAGGAACTGTAACTGCACCTGTACAGTGGTACCTCTGGTTACGTACTTAATTCGTTCCGGAGGTCCGTTCTTAACCTGAAACTGTTCTTAACCTGAAGCACCACTTTAGCTAATGGGGTCTCCTGTTGCGGATGCGCTGCTGGAGCACGATTTCTGTTCTCATCCTGAAGCAAGGTTCTTAACCCGAGGTACTATTTCTGGGTTAGCGGAGTCTGTAACCTGAAGCGTATGTAACCCGAGGTACCACTGCATGCTGCTTTGCTTCAAGATGAACAAAAGCAATAACATAGGCAAGTGCTTTAACTATGGCTGTGGAGTCTGTGGACCTCCAGATGTTGGGTGTCACCTGCTTTCCCTAACCACTGACCAGATGGGAGGGATCTGTCCCTCCAGATGTTGCTGAACTATAAATCTCACCATCCCTGGATCCTTTAGATTGGAATAGCTAATGGCCAATTGCAAATACCCCCTTTTGAGAGAAGGACTGTGGTCAGGCAGCTGCAGGCAATCTTGGAGGACATCCCAAGGATTATTTAGATCCATCCCAATCTGGGTCTAGTCCTGGCCATGGAGCTAAGTTGCCCTTGGTTGCCTTGATGGAGAGCAGGATAGGGGGAGTGTGACTGGCTCCTGCTTATTGAACTTGATCATTTGATACCACCGGCAGGGAACTGGAACTGGGGGGTACTGTATTATTATTACATTGATTCCAATCCTACCTTCAGGACCAAGTCAGACAGTAGCATTGGTAGAGTGCCTTTCATATGGGGTGCTGCAGGGGACTATCTTATCTCCAGCACTATTTCATATCTACATGAAGCTGTTCAGAGCGGTCATTAGGCATTTCAGAGCAAGCTGCTGATCACACTCAATTATATTTCTCCATAATATCTGAATCGGAAGAGGCCGTGTTCAGGAGGTTACTATTAATATTTAAAGCCCTTAACAACTTGGGACCAGTTTACCTACAATACCTTACCCAATGTGTGCCCACTTGACTGTTTCAATCAGCCGAACTGAGACTACTACAGGTGCCATGTAATGCCCGTTTTGCATTTGTAAGAACCTGATTGTTTAGTGTTGCATCCTGACTATTGAGATCACTGCTCTTTCCGGCACCTGCTAAAAACCAACTCTTTAGACAAGCCTACACAGATGCTTAGGAAGTTGGGGTAATTTTAATCTGTTTTAGTATTTTTACTTTTGTGTGTTTTAAAGTACAGTTGTACATTTTTCTTGGTTTTCTTGTTTTATCCTCTTGAGGGGTTCCCCCCACCCCCGCATTCAAGTGGTGTATAAATTTCATGACACAAACCAACAGTGGGAGGGCCTAAGGTTACCATATCTTCCATTGAGCATGACAGCCGGTGCTGCTGGGAATTGTAGTCCAAGCACATCTTGTGGCCCTCAGCCCCTGGCTACACATTGTGTAATCCCTACTTGTTTTCTAACTGAGGCGAGCACCCAGATCTCTTACAGTCATCCATGCCCAGCTAAATCAAAGACACCAGTTCAGTTTCAACATGCTTTACTTATAGCTTGTAATTATAAAGCATTCTTCTTCTTTTTCCTTAAAAGATTATTTAACAAGAAAAAAAATAAGTTAGTACACATACATTTAAAATATTCCTTCATACACTTGTGTGACAACAGTACGTTCCGAGTAAGACTTCATTTAAGACTTTGAACAGACTTCATAAAATATATTCACAATCATATTTATAAACGTGGTTAATAACAAGATTCAAGACTCCCCACCCACCTACCCATCTGCAATAACATTTCCCCCTCTCTTTTTAATTTTTGGTTTACGGTCCCCTTGTACACAGGATCAGTGGAATGCAGGGGGCGATTACATAATTAAAGCACCACGAAGAAGCACAGACAGACAATACATGCGAGGCTTATGTAAGCTGCCTTTGTAAGAGTGTACTTTCCCCTCCCATCTGAAAACAATTTGGTATCACAATCCACACATCCGACGACAGAACGAGAAGTGCTTAGCATGCTTCTTTTAAAAAATTAAAATGCACTTGCGTTTACATTTAGCGGCAGAAAATCTCCGTGCCACCTCCTCCTTCTTCTTCAGTTTCAAACAATGAACATGTTCTGAACTAAATATAGTGCAAATCAAACATTTAGGAGCAGGACGGACAGAACCCAACATTATATTCACGCAACCAGAACCACACCCACCAGAACTCAGCCTCTTGGCACAACTGTACAGGAGAATTCCCTCTAGGGTCGGACGCTGACGGGTACGTGGCGGAGAGAATTCAAGGCAACCAAGCAGCATCCTCGAAGCAATGCTCCGAAATTGTAGACAGGGTTAGTCCCTCCTCGCTGGGTACTGAACATCCACATTACCGTTGGCAGGATGGGAGCGGCTACAGCCAAAGCATCGACAAAGAAGCTGCTGCTCCAGTATCTTTTCACAACGCTCCTCTCGGACAACTTCGTGACATTCCCAAAGCCTTCAGCGTGACAGTCTGTGAAGTCCAGTTCCTTCATGACTCTGTTTTCGTAATACCTAGAATCCACAGCATCGTGTGTCAACTCCAGCGGGGATAAAAGGATAGCGGAATTCGGATCGCATGGAGTCAAGTCCACGAGCAAGTCTGTGATGCTTTCGAGACCAGATCCGTCGGATTCTTTCGAAGCTGAAGAAGGGCTGATGGGGCGTCCCTCGTGCGCCTTGAATATGTTCTGAATCAGCTGCTCCATGCTTGAGCTGTACAGCAACACATCAGCCTGAACTGCCTGCTCCATCGCCAAACTATGGCTGTGGCTGTCATCTTCTTCTTTGGCGTTTGTGAGGTTTTTAACGAGATCCAAATGGTTTAAGGGGGAAGGTGTAAAGAGTTCGAGTGTGGCGTCCATCGCTGTCTCTTCAAATACATCGTTCCCATTGGCCACGTCGTCACTAAGCAATACACCGCTATCTGCCATATCCTCCACAGAGTGGTCTTCCATGAGCATGCTGTCTGCCATTTTGGAGTAGGCCGCACTCGGAGTCAAAGACTTATCAGGTGTCCCACACACATAATCTAGGCTGCGATCCTCGTGACAAGAGCCGTTCTGTGCCATTTCCATGCTCTGGAGCAAGGTCTCCAGCTTCTTGTTCTGGATGTTGATGTCCACAAAATACTTCTGAATCCCTTTGTCTTTCTCAGCCAAGCTGTTCTTCATGGTTTCAATAACCTGCTTGAGTTGTTTGATCTCCTTCCTTGCTTCCTTCAAGGCAAGCTGGGCTTCCACCCGATGACACTCTTCTTCAATCCAGTCTTCCCTCATGCGGGCAAGTTGAGATTTGAGTTCCTTGATTTCTGTTTCTCTGAATGGAGGGCAAAACAAAACAAGGCATCATTTCCTGAGGCGGGAGAACCTGCCCTTTTGAGGTTACCAAGCTAGGAGGGAAAAGATATGGTGAACAAGATGCATGAAGGAAGGTAGAGGTTTTCTGCTTGAATCAGACATGGTCAGCTCATAGACATGGTTAACTCCTCTGGATACTCTTGGACTACAAGTCCCATCATCTCTGACAACCATGTTACCTACTCCTGTGGTAGAGTAAAGAGATACCCATATATCAAGAAATTGGCTTTTATAACAATAAAACTATTATATAAACCAGGGGTCAGCAAATCTTTTCAGCAGGCAGCCGGACCACTGTCCCTCAGACCTTGTGGGGGGCCAGACTATATTCTGAAGGGGAAAAAATGAACAAATTCCTATGCCCCCACAAATAACCCAGAGATGCATTTTAAATGAAAGAATACATTCTACTCATGTAAAAACACACACGTCTGCGGGCTGGATTTAGAAGACGATTGGGCCGGATCTGGCCCCTGGGCCTTAGTTTGCCTACCCATGATATAACTGTTTCTTGGGCCATTGATTGTCCTCATGTTTAAGCAAGAACGTTATGGATGAAACCCAATGTGGTGTGAATGAAAGTCCCCTTCAATTCCAACCCCCCGCAATCTCCTGCCCCCTTCTTTCAAATCAGTTCTGGAGGGTTTCTCCAAGTCTCTGGGGCAGATTGGAGGGGGTAAAATCCATCTTGCATCAGCCCCCAGCCAGCATGGCCAATGATCCAGGAAGATGGGAACAATGTTTTAAAGGCCATCCATGCATTCACCCAGGGTAGCCAATGTGATGGACTCCTCGTCGTCAGGAATAAGAGGAGTTGTAGTCCAACAGTATCTGCAGGGAACCACGTTAGCTACCCCAGCACTAAAGCCGCTTAATGTACATGTTAAGCAAGCTTCACTGTCATCTGAAATCAGGGTGCCATCACTGAAAAGGCCCTATTAGTAGAAACTCTTACCTTTCTTGCAGTCTGCTCTCAGATTCCTTCAGTTTTGTTTTCAGGTGCCTCACTGTAACTTCCTTTTGCTGCAGAGGAGTCAGATACTGCTCTGGGCTAGGTGGTTTGATGCCGTGGTTCTCTCCACAAGAGGTGTATCTTGCCGGCCGCCTACAACAGAAAAATGTTGTTGTGCCTGCAAATTTTATGTTTACATTCTGCTTAAGGCAAGAACTGGTGATTTAGGTCGCAATTCTATACAGACTTACCTGGGAGTAAGTTGCACTGAAATGGTTGTTCCCTTTTTGAAGCTGATGATGGATGTATTTTAAAATCTTTGTTTTCATAATGTGGTATGGCTCCTCTATTGTATTTTTGTGATTGCAAGTTGTTTTAAACTGCTTTTAAATTTGTGTTTTAATATTCAACCCACCCTGGGACCTTACGGTGAAGGGAGGTTATAATAAACAACAACAAACTTAATACTGATGATAATGATGATGTCACTATTTATTGGTGTGGTCAAGTTGTTTTTTAAAGGTTGCTTATGTCTGATGTTGGCCACCTTGGGCTTATTGAGGAAAGGTGGAATATAAAAGTATAAACTAACTCATAATAAACAGTGCTACATCATGACATGTGGGAGACTACTCTTGGAAGCGCCAGTTGGTGCAAATTGCTGAGGCTAAACTGTTGATGGGGACAGATGCCATCAACAAATATTTCAGCTACTTAAAGCTTCCCATGTGTTACTGGGCCAGGTTTAAGGTTCTGAAAATTCAAGGTTAATCCCAATGTTCAGGGATGATGGGGACTACAGTTCAACACCTAGAGGGCAACATCCACGATCTGGGCGCCATCACCAAAAAGGCCCTCCTACCTAAAAGGCCCTAGTAAGGCCTCTGTACTGGATCCCAAACCAAATTGGGACGATCCTGGTTAACCTGGGATTCGGGTGCATAGGACTGAGGCGGCCCCAGATCTACTTGCAACAGATCAAGTCCATCAGAACGAATCAGGGGTCTCAAAGCAAGGGACAGTCTGGCTATGAGAAGAGAGGGGAGATTGAGACATGCAGGCAGTCTGTGTCTACCTCCCCGTCTCGGACCATATATTTCATCAGGATATAAATCCCCAGGATTAAGCATATGGACCGGGGCGGGGGGGAGAAAAGGGAACCCACATTTCCTCCCCCTCTGCCTGACTGCATGTTTAACTAGGGTTTAAAACTCCACTTTAAACATATGGCTAGGAGGGTGGGGAAGAAGGAAAGGCACATGTGTTAAATGATAGTAATTGAGTCAACCACCAGTCTGACACTGGAGGCAGACTGTTGACAGAATGCACCTTTTTCTGGCTGCCTGTATCGCAGGCAGACATTGTCTCACCCACCATTCCAGTAAGTAAACGACAAAGCAACAAAAACTGCCTACAAATGATTTCAGAAATATCAGGAAGGATCCACAACTGTGATGCTGTCAGAGAAGGTCTTGGAACGCTTTTGGGGGTGAGAACCTGTTGGCATGCATGTGCTAATTAGTTTTCAGCACCTTCTAGAGATGTAGTTAATTCTGCTAAGTGTTTTCCAATAAAGTGGGCTGCTTTTCTGCATTTTCCCTGGAGCATCATCCAGCAGGCTCCCTACATCGCTGCCTGCAACTGCGGTGCCCAGACTGACTCCCCACCTGTAGTGTAACCTGTGGTGTAGTGAAGGAGGGACAGGCCAGGACAAAGCACCACCAGCACTTATTTCATAGGTCAGCTGGGGGGGGCGGAGAGAAGGAAAGGCACATGTGTTAAATGATGGTAATTGATATTTGCCAGTGTTAAATGATAGCAATTGCTATTTGCCAGTCCTCTGCATGCCAGACAAATAGGCTTTTCTCAGAGAGAAACCCGCCCATCATGCTAAGCATGCGTAGCCGAGGTCTGCTTTTATTTTGAAAAACTCTCAAGTCCCTTTATTATCACCAGATATAAAGAGCAAGCTTCTGACTCTCCCCCAGAACTCTTCATCAGACAGGATGTTCAGCAAAGCCAAGAGCAGCGGATGAGGGGAAATGACTTCGTATTGAAGCCATAACGTCTGCATTGGTCAATACTTTATTTTTGTTGCCAGGTCTCAGAAGGAGTGGCTCTGGGGGCATAGCTCTGGGGGTTGTCAGGAAGAATGCCTGCACTTTAGAATTCACCATCACACCATTGCAACGTGGAAACCACAGTACAGTCTTCTGGTTGCTCACTGTCATGAAAGAAGGAGTGAAAACATTTGCACGCTTAGTGAGCAGCACATGCGCTGCCATGTGAGCAAATGATGCCTTTTGTTTTAATCCAGAAGGACCTTGGGAGTTTGATTGGCCAATGGCACAAGGAGAACTGTAACCATGGCTGCGACCTTCACATTAGGTACAGAGGAGCTGCCATATGCCTGGTTAGACCATTGGTCCATCTAGCTCATACTCTTCTAGTCTCCCTATTTTCCATGCACAGTTTCAGAACTGCGAAAGCCATCCTGGCTTCTGCTTTGATCCCAGAATGTCTCTATTCCCCTCACCAGTGGGCTCAGGGAGGAGGATGAACTAGTGCTTGTCTTGAGTGACAGGCTGCGAGGGAGCATCCTGTTGCCTTTCCATGGCCACCACTGCTGGCCTCCTCCCTTGGGCAGCTCGTAGCAGCTGCTGGGGGGCAGGCAGAGAGCAGGGCTACCCTGGGCAGGAAGAAAGGGTGAGTGCAAGGAGTCTCGGCCCTTTTAATTAAAAAATGCTTTGTGTGTCCACATTGAATCTTGCCTGTTTCTAAAATCTAAAGGTAAAGGGAGCCCTGACCATTAGGTCCAGTCGTGGCCGACTCTGGGGTTGCGGCGCTCATCTCGCTTTATTGGCTGAGGGAGCCGACGTACAACTTCCGGGTCATGTGGCCAGCATGACTAAGCTGCTTCTGGTGAACCAGAGCAGCACATGGAAATGTCGTTTACCTTCCCGCAGGAGCGGTACCTATTTATCTACTTGCACTTTGATGTGTTTCCGAACTTCTAGGTTGGCAGGAGCAGGGACTGAGCAACAGGAGCTCACCTCATCGCGGGAATTCGAACCACCGACCTTCTGATCAGCAAGTCCTAGGCTCTGTGGTTTAACCCACAGCACCACCTGCGTCCCTTCTAAAATCTAAAATCTACCAAGGAATAAAACAAAATTGGGATTAAGAGGTTTTTCAGGACAGTGGAGGGTGTGTGCCATTGGTAGTGGAAATGCTCTGCAGGGGACCAAAAATAGGAGATCGAGGAGGTTCAGTGGTGGGGGAGTGAGAAATGACTGGCAGAAGCTCTTCAGGCAGGGCACATTCCAGGCCCTTCCTGAGCTGCCAGGGATCAAAGATGAGACCTAGTGCATGCACAACAGGCATTCCACCACTGAGCTATGCCCTTCCTGGACATCGTATTTCCTGGAGCAGACTTAAGTACTCTAGACGGAGCAGATAGCAAGCAACACCCATTTGCCTCTAGTAAAGACATCAAGCGAAGAAGTGGCCACACAAAGGTCAGGAGGGTCACACATCAAAGGACACCACACGATGCGACAACACCAGAGGCTCTTTTTGCAGCAGCTGCAGGTCAAGGCAATGGCAAGCAGGGTTAAATTCTATACTATCCCGCAACAGGGTTGTATAGAAGAAACGTTATTGCAGACTGTCAAGTTAGCAAGGAAGACGAAGCCTTTTGCTAAGCTTCTTCCCTCGGAGGGAATTTAATTGGTTTGGCGGGTGCGCTGATGGTGTCGTCACTGCCACCACACCTGTTCAAATGCCTAAAGGATGTCACTGAAATGCCTAGAGAATTTACGAGCCTGATGTACCATGTAACGAAGAAAATCTTCAGTTACAATTGGAGATTCTGATGACAGCTGAGAACGGACAGGGGGCTTAGGTGATTGGCGGGGCAGAGAGAGGAAAAAGCTGCGAGAAGCTCACTTGCCTCAAAATGGGGCTGTTATCACTTCCCTTGTATGAGCCTGAATTGCTGCTGCTGGCCGAAGAAGCCTCATAATTCGGGTGGGTGCTAATGGGACTCAACTGATTTTTGCACAGCATTGACAGGAAGTCCTTTTCACGGGACGTGGTAGGAGGGCTAGATCCAGACTTGTAGGACACGGCTCCGTTATTCCGTCCGTGGGGACCCCGGCTGAAGTAGACAGCAGAAACAATGTGTTATAGGGCACGAGGGAAATATACATCAGAGTTACAATCAGTCAGTTGTATTAATCTGTTTAAAAGTCTCTTGGTTGGTGGAAAAAGGTATCCCAAATTAATTGGGCAGGGCATCCATTTTTTAAATGTTGCTTTTAAAAAAATTAAATAAAAATACAGTGGTACCTCAGGTTACATATGCTTCAGGTTACAGACTCCGCTAATCCAGAAATAGTGCTTCAGGTTAAGAACTTTGCTTCAGGATGAGAACAGAAATCGGGCTCCGGCGGCGCGGCAGCAGCAGGAGGCCCCATTAGCTAAAGTGGTGCTTTAGGGTAAGAACAGTTTCAGGTTAAGTACGGACCTCCGGAACGAATTAAGTACTTAACCTGAGGTACCACTGTAATTAAAATTGCATGTACAGTGGTACCTCGGGTTAAGAACTGAATTCGTTCTGGAGTTCTGTTCTTAACCTGAAACTGTTCTTAACCTGAGGTACTACTTAACTAACGGGGCCTCTTGCTGCTACCGCACGGTTTCTGTTCTCATCCTGAAGCAAAGTTCTTAACCCGAGGTCATATTTCTGGGTTAGCGGAGTCTGTAACCTGAAGCGTCTGTAACCCGAGGTATCACTGTAGTTGTCACCACTTTCAGAGTGGTATCCTTCCACTCTACATAAGAGGGAAAGTTCATTCAAAGGCAGTGATTGCTGGGGCACACGAGCATCTTCCAAAACAGAGGTGGGGAACCTTTATGGCTCCAGATGTTGAACTCAAGCTCCCAATATCCCTGACTATTGGCCATGCTGGTTGGTGATTATGAGAGTCCAACAACATCTGAAGCGTCCAACCTAACAGCAATGACTAGAATGTTCCTTTCTTCACAGCTATTGTTTTATCCATTCGCAAACCTATGCAGATTTAATTACCTGATTGACTGGCTAAACCTCACGCAATGAATCAGCTTCAGATTTCATTAATTGGGTGGTAGCTCTGATATGTATTATATACTAATAGTGCACATTTACTAAAAATAGACATATGCACATGCACGCTCTCCCATTTCTATGATGCAATAGCCACTGGAGATGTGATAACAGCTGCATTTATGTCAAACCATAATTACAACTGCAATCCCATGCACACCTTCCTTGGAGTAAGCTCCACTGAACCCCACTGGGCTTACTTCTGAGTAGACATATATAGGATGGCATAGTGAATTTCAGGCAAAGGGCTCATTATGATAGATTCAGTCAATCTGAATTTAACACCTCTGATTAAAGCAGCCTTTAGCTGCCTCTTAACTAGTTTGTTCAGTCCTATAAAGACCTGAAGTTTCTATAGTCGTCACCAGGAAACTCAGGAGACAAGTTCAATAAATCTACTGCTGGAAAAATAAAAGCATTATTACTGTCCATGGAAGTAATTCAAAGGCTAAAGAAAGAGAAAATAGATGTCTTAGATATATTTGACTTTACTTTTCATCTGCAGGCTTTTACCATGATGTTGTAAAATTGCTACTGTCCCAAACCTATTTACCCTGTTTAGATGTTTATCTTTCTGTACACATCATCCTAATTTAAATGCTTTTTAAAACAACAACTTTTCTATCTACACATTGTAAATATTGCAAACTGAAGCTGGAAAATAAGAGGGCATAGCATCTGAAAACCTCACTTTCTAGGAGAACATACTGTAGAAGCCATGTTTATTGTTTTACTTTCTAAGAACTTTTCACTCCTTTTTTATTATTATTTAAGAGAGCTAGCCAAATTCAAAGGATCTTCACCACTGCATCTGCTGACATGGAATCTACCCAATGTGTGTGTGTGGGGGGGGGAGGGAATACAAATTAGGTTAATAGTATAAATGGAAATTAGCAGCACGGGAAGTCTCTAAAGCAGGCTCTGTCAAACCAGTTGCTCACCTCCTACTAGACGTAAAACAAACAAACAACCCCAAAACCGTTTCTTTTAAAAAGATCAAAGACGGCAACAGCTGAGAGCAAAAGGGGGGAAAGACAGAGGAAGCGCAGGAGATACACCGCAAATCACGAGGCAGAAAGCTCTGAATTTAGAAAGCGTTTGAACTGGTTTTCCTTCTCTCTTTGCACGGAACACATTATACAGACCAGATGGCGGAATGAGTTGTGCTGCAGCAAGGCAGCATCCCAAGGTTGTGGTTGGGTTAGCTCCACTCTGATTTGCCTATGTGGACACAATGGAAAGCTGTCGTGGAAGCTAGACAGCTGTACTGGATTGATACGCTGAGCAAATCTCTCACAACTGCACCTTGCCCTTGCACAGGAACCAAAACCAAATAGTATATATATATTTTTAAAGACTCTAAAAATGTGGCAAGTGGAGGAAAACAGTAAAAGAGGAAGAAGAAAAAACCTGTTTGCATTTTGCACACATGGCGCAGCAGAGATATTTTTGGCAAGCATAATTTGCCTTGTTGGCTTAAAGGATGTATTTGAAAAGGATATTTTATGGAGCTTGAGCGAGGGGATTTTAAGGCTTGGCTCTGTGGTTTCCCCCTCTTCACTTCCTTGCTCAAATAACTTTTTTTTCCTTTTTCTTTTTAAAAATATCATTATAAATAGCTTTAACTCAAATATCCTAGGTGCAATTCTTTTAGGAGAAACTGCATGAAGGTGACCAAGTTACTTGTGCGACTGAAGTTAATCCAGTTCCCAGTTCCAGCAAATTTGTTTCATTACGGTATCAAGCTTCTTTCAGTGGAGAATTTTGTTAGAAAGAGGGGAAAGTGGATTTTATTTTATTGTCTAAAAGAGGGGCATTTTCCAGGTATTAAGCTTTGCCAGTTTATGGCATTTTTGTCCTGCCTCTCCTCTGAAGAGTTCAGGGTAATGCTCTTCTTTGCAAAATGTCCCCCACAAGCTGTCTCCCTCACACACAGTTCCAGGTATATTTGAATTATGGAGCTAGAAACCTGCAGGAGGAAGGAGGAGAGCAGGGGTTGATTATGAGTGGGGTAAATGGCCAGTGGGGAAAGGATGGGGCATTTGCCAACCAGCACTCAAAATCACAGCTTCCCAAAGTTGCTTTTTGTGATGGGATGATGAGCTGCTTGTGCGTAAAATCCTAGTCCCTCAGAGTTTGATCAAATCCGCAAACCTCTGCCTACGACGGAGCCCCTCAAGCATGGCTCTGTCAGTCGCTAGCAGAATCCGAAAGTGGTCGCTTACGGAATCTCTTCCAGCATAAAAGCTCCTTAACGGAAACACGTCTTCTGGACTCTCGGCGCGACAGTTTCCGGCGAGGAGTGGGTGTCCCTATAGGAGGTCTTGAAACCTCCCCACTGTTTTCGCTGGAAGTGTCTCTGAGCCATCCCTCCGACTCACTTTCCCTTGGAGTTCCTCCTCTCCCCCTACTGGTTCCCTCTTCAGCTGCTAAATCTCTCTCAACCTCAGTGAGCCCTTCCACCTCCTGTCCTTCCGATGGCAGTTCCCTGACACTTTTCAAGTTAAAAAATAAACCCTCAGCAAGCCTCAAGGGAGTTCAGAAACTTTCACTTTGATTTTAAATTAATTGCAGCTTGCAGCAGCATCCAAACTCTGGCACGTGAATAATCCTAACTATAGTTAGCGGAAATGAGCCAACTTCAGACCATAGTCTATGAAGTCCGCTTGTTTCAAATAACCATAGTTAAGATGAACCACAGTCCAGGTGGATCTTAGGTAAGTCAATCGAAAAATTGAGGGGGGTTTTGGCGTTTTTGTAAAAAAAAAAATGCTCAATGACTTTCGGGGTGTCCTGGTTTTTACTTTTTGAAATATGGCAACCCTAGAAATGTGGAGGCCCAAGACTTGCTGGGGCTTGTTTTCATAGCAGTAAGCGAGGATAGCAGCTTGTATGTTTTGAGCATATGTTTGTTGCATTGCCAGGGCAGAGCAAATTGTTCTCAGGAGCTCCTGTGATTAACCAGGAGAATGTTCTGTAATGAACTAGAAAAAGTCATATTCTGCACAGCTTCGCCATAGTGGGGGTATATATAAAAAACACACCATACGTACATGCTTTTAAGAAAGAGTTGGTTGCTAGTAAGGTTGGGTGATCAGCATCTTAAAAAGCAGAGACATCACCTTGCCAACAAAGATCCGTATAGTTAAAGCCATGGTTTTCCCAGTAGTGATGTATGGAAGTGAGAGCTGGACCATAAAGAAGGCTGATTGCCGAAGAATTGATGCTTTTGAATTATGGAGCTGGAGGAGACTCTTGAGAGTCCCATGGACTGCAAGAAGATCAAACGCATCCATTCTTAAGGAAATTAGCCCTGAGTGCTCACTGGAAGGACAGATCGTGAAGCTGAGGCTCCAATACTTTGGACACCTCATGAGAAGAGAAGACTCCCTGGAAAAGATCCTGATGTTGGGAAAGATGGAGGGCACAAGGAGAAGGGGACAACAGAGGACAAGATGGTTGGACGGTGTTCTCGAAGCTACAAACATGAGTTGGGCCAAACTGCGGGAGGCAGTGGAAGACAGGCGTGCCTGGCGTGCTCTGGTCCATGGGGTCACGAAGAGTCGGACACAACTAAACGACTAAACAACAAAGGTTGGGCGATGTATTGATATATTGTCCAAGACCGGTTGGAAGTTCATATAATATCAGTTTCATAGTTTTTGACCTGGCAATATATTGCGAATCATGATGTGTGTTAGGGCTGGGTGATATATCATCCAAAATCAGTTTCAAGTCCATATCATGATATTGGTTTCATCATTTTTGACTTGGCAATATATTGTGAATGTGCTATGCAAAAATCACAATGTGGGGAAAACTCTGCAGCCAGCCAATGCCTCTACAGTACTCCATCCTTATTTCAGACATTGTAATATATCAGTATATTGCAATGTTTAGCTGGTGATATATCACAAAGTTGAAATCAGATATCAGATACTTACTAGATCATGATCTCACAATACACACATGGAGACTGCGCACTGCAGAATGTAGTAAATTGCCCTAAGTGAAGTCTGCCATAAAGCAGTACTGCTGCAAAAGAAGCTGCAGTGCCCATCCACTCTGTTGCTACTGCTTTTCCAAATCTTGTATCTTCTCGTTTAAGTATGAACTCCCTCCTCCAATGCCATCCAGGGCCTCTGTATCCCTAGGACCTTACTTCTTCTTTCTCCTAGTCCTCCTCTAGCATTTCCAGATGGCCTGACCCTCTGACTCTGCCAGAGTCGCTTCTCCCTGCTCTGTGACACAAGGCAAGTTCAGCCAATCATCAGAGGCTCCCGTAGCCTTTAGTATGCAACAACAGAGGTACAGTGTCACAACTTTTCAACCGACTGCAAAGCCCATGCTGCACTGGCAAAACATTACTGCCAAAAATGTGTGCTGAGCAGAGAGGACGAAGGTTAATTGCTTTGACAGGGTACAGTTAAGGGACTATACGTCCAGCTGCTTCCCTGGTTTTGAATCCTAATTGTGTGCATTTTGCTTTGCTGGCTTGCAAAATGGAATGTGTTGAACACTGAGGAACAGCCTCTTTTGTGGCATACTTAAAACATTTAGATCAGGTATGGGGAACCTGGAATCCTCTAGCTCCCATCATTCCTGACCAGTGGCCCATTCTGGCTGGAGCTCGTAACTCTAGAGTTAAAGTTCCACAACATCTAGGTAGTTGCCTGTCCCTCATGTAGAGATTTGCCTCGCTGCCTCCTTAATGCTTTTAGACAGAAGCAGAAAACAATTCTATCCAACCAAGTATGATGCTAAGTTCCACTGCTGTTTTTAAATGACTTCTGTTGTTGTTGTTGTTTAGTCGTTTAGTCATGTCCGACTCTTCGTGACCCCCTGGACCAGAGCACGCCAGGCACTTCTGTCCTCCACTGCCTCCCACAGTTTGATCAAACTCATGCTGGTAGCTTCAAGAACACTGTCCAACCATCTCGTCCTCTGTCGTCCCCTTCTCCTTGTGCCCTCCATCTTTCCCAACATCAGGGTCTTTTCCAGGGAGTCTTCTCTTCTCATGAGGTGGCCAAAGTATTGGAGCCTCAGCTTCAGGATCTGTCCTTCCAGTGAGCACTCAGGGCTGATTTCCTTCAAGAATGGATAGGTTTGATCTTCTTGCAGTCCATGGGACTCTCAAGAGTCTCCTCCAGCACCATAATTCAAAAGCATCAATTCTTCGGCGATCAGCCTTCTTTATGGTCCAGCTCTCACTTCCATACATCACTACTGGGAAAACCATGGCTTTTACTATACGGACCTTTGTTGGCAAGGTGATGTCTTTGCTTTTTAAGATGTTGTCTAGGTTTGCCATCACCTTTCTCCCAAGGAGCAGGCGTCTTTTAATTTCGTCTTTTAATTTTTAAATGACTTCTGCCTTTTATGATTTGCCATTAAATTTAGAGGTATCTTCTCTCCTCATCCATGTCCTTTAGCTAGTTCTCTGCTGCTGAGCAACATTCAACAGGTGTTGATCCCCCACATTTTATGATCGATGTAAACAGATTTTATCTTGCTTGTAGCCTTGTTGTGCACTGCTTAGACATGATGATATTAAGCCAGGCATGTCCAAAGTCCATTTTGAGGGCCTAATCCAGCCCCTGTGGCAGTCTGTCTCGTGGGGTAAAATCCTAAAAAAAGCTCAACAACTTCAGCTTTGGTCGGCCCTCACGCATGTTCATTTCATCAAATCCAGCCCTCTTTGAAAAAAGTTTGGGCACCCCTGGAAGCAATATCTCTGCATTAGATATCAGCCCTCACCTAGATGTCAGATTCTGGTTTGTACCACAAAACACATCTGCAAACACATGAGGAGACAGAAATGAATTGGGGGCAGGGCTCCTGGTTAACCTCCACCTCCAACTTCTATCCTGCACACCCAAACCAAAACAAGCCGATCTTCAACAGAAGCTACATTCACAGGCTGGGAGTTGGGCAAAGATGCTGTTGCGTACTTGCGAGAAAAGGATGACCTCTTGCTTCCAGCAGCAGACATGTGGACTTCAGGAGCTGAGATGCTGCCTGTACTGCTTGAGGAGCTAAAATCAGCTTCGCTTCCTGGAAAAGGAAAGGGAAGAGTAAATGTCTGATGGAAACCGTAGCTCAAGGATTGATGTGGTGAATCACTGCCATCCTTCCTTGCCTCTCCCACTGGAATTTGGAAACCAAGCCTGCACTTTTGCAAAATGTTAAGGGTGGATCAGTTTCAGCTTCTTCACATTTCCTCAAAACTGACAAGCCAAGAAAAAGGATGCAAATGTTATTTTGGAATTTTTTTAAATGCTTGGCTTTTACAATATAGACGTTTTGAAACAGCCGAGATCTACTTTTCCACCAGGTCTACAATAAGTATAGGCTGACTCTAGCATTCATTTCCTTTATTATTTGAAGTATACCACTTCTCCCCCCAAAAAAGTCCACAGTGGTTTACAAATACAAGCTTAAAACACATAAGACCAATAAGAAACAAAAGTACGCAAGAAGAAATATCAAAATTCATCTTCCAAGGCAGGATGAGGGCCTTTTACCATCTGAGGCCTGCACACCAACTAGAGCTTTGGTAAACCTTGTTGTTAGATTACTGAAGTGCAATGTACATGGGGGCTGCCTCTGAAGACTGTTCAGAAGCTCTGACTAGCTCAAAATACAGCTGCATATTTTTGGGCAGGACCACTTGGTGGAACACCTCTCACCGGTTCTAAACCATCTTCCCTGGTTACTGGCTCATGTATTTCTTTCTTTCTTTGAGCCATTTATTGAACCAAAAATCAAAAGCAGGAAGAAATATTTTTTTAAAAAATATACAATTACCATAGCTCAGTTGGTGGGGTATGAGACTCTTAATCTCAGGGTCGTGGGTCTGATCCTCACGTTGGGCAAAAAGATTCCTGCATTGCAGGGGGTTGGACTAGATGACTCTCGTGGGCCCTTCCAACTGTATGATTCTAAGAAGGAATAAGATGCTGAATATGTTCCAAGGTGTGAAGTAATTTGTTGGGGCAGATTCCATTCATTTCGGCAGGAACAGCACTAAGCAACTGTCTTGCTGGATCAGTTTCAGAAAACACCTGAGACATGCTGCTAGATGGCTTGTTATCTGCAAATGCCATAGTTTGCAATCCAGTTCAGAGTTATATTCACATGGAGAGCAATCCTGTGGCCCTGGGGCCACAGGGACACTGCCACTGCTATAAAACGGAGATGGGGAGCCTCCGGCCTGCATTTCAGGATAGAGAGGGATCTGTCAGAGTGAAGAAACTAGTCTACTGTATGAAAGGTAGAGTCGTTGCCCAAACCACATTTGTCTCTGGCCCCACCCACCACCATTATCTGGCCCCAGGAAGTGAACATGGCCCTCACTCTCAAAAGGGTTCCCGTCCCTGTGGCAAGAAGGTTTGCAACCAGCGCCTCAACACTGGTAAGGGCAAAGGGGAAATGTTCTGAGGGCATGCCAAGAGAAGCTGTGGGTCTGCAGTATCCCAAGCCCTTCTCTTCCCCCAGCCCCCAACACATAAACACTGGAAAGTAATGAAGGCCAGCCCTGGAGTCTGTGAGGTTTAATTCCCTCCCATTGGAATGAATAAGGGGGAAACTGTTTAAAACAAACAAACACCCAGAAGGATATATAAAAAGGGGGTCAATCTGCCTTTTAGCTCTTCCTCCTCCTCTCACTTCTGGATTGCCCTGTCCTATATGATTGCTGAGAAGTAAGAAAGTCCCACAGTGTCCCCATTTTCATGCCACCGCACATGGGATCTGCATACCCTCCAACATGTTGCAGAGAAAAATCGGGGTGTGCGTCTTTCGGGGCTGCGCTCTTGTGGAAGCCGTGTGACTTGCGTGAGAGAATGGCCCTCCCAAACAGGCATCTTTGGAGGATGTGCTCTTGTGGGAGCTGAAACAGGACATCCCGGGATGCAGTCACAAGCCGGAAGACTTCTGTAATTCCGGGATGTCCCATTCAAAGCGGGACAATTGAGGGGTATGGGTTTTGAGCTTTAAATCTCACTTACTTTGGTAGGGTTTTAAACATGCATAAAGATGTACTTCAGGGATGGGGAACCTGTTGCCCTCTAGATATTGTTGAGATGACAAACACCTTCATCTCTGACTGTAGGCCATTTTGGCTGGGAGATAGAGTCTGAAAACATCTAGAGGGACACAGGGTCCCCCATTTCTGATGTACCTGATGAAAGAAGTAGTTCTAGTTGCCCCTCAATTCTCCATCTTTAGACATATTATGACATTTTAAATATGGACTAGGTGTCTTCTACAACAATGTGTGTGTGGGGAGATACATTGTGGCGCCAAAAGGAGGAGAGTTCAGCAAAGGAGATGAGAGAAAAAATGGAAGTAAACAGACGAGCTGTAAAACCATGCTCCGGGTCAACCTTTTCCACCTACTAAAATAAACGGCAGATTGTGTGGAGTGCTTATGGCACCGGTTACATATTTTTGTTGGCTCAATGTCATCACAGCTAAGCGAAGGGGAAAGAGGAAGTTGCTGTACTTCCAAACAGTATTGCTGTCCCAGGGACTGCGTCACATTCATGTCTAATTCCAAAGAACTGCAACAGAGATTGGACAGCAGGCAAATCTCCCTGCTAGGGATATACACTATGAACAGAGGTTTTTGCATGAAATTGTCACTCTGTTGAAATTGAGCAGGTCTCTTCTATGGACCACAACTGGAGATGGTGTGTGCTACCTTCAACTTTGTTGCGCGACGGCCTCTCTTGCCAGTTTCAAGTAGGCAGCTGCTGCAAGCATATAAGGACATTTTAACAATAACAGATGTACTTAGGAGCTCTTCCAAGCCATTTCAAGCCAAGTACTTTTGTAGCTGGGCTGTATGCCGACAAGTTAATAAATAATCTGGTCCCATTTTTTTCTTTTTCTTTTTAAAGAGCTGAGCACTTGGAACTAGGAATGAGTGAATCTGTCAGGTTTGGTTTAATCTCGGTTCCACACACACACCCCCACCTTAAATTCAGTGCATTTCCACATCAGTTTGTGATATATCTTGTCCTCTCTAAAAGAGGGCACGTGTTGTGGTGAGACCTGGAGACGGACCTCCTGATTGTGGGTGCGTCTATTGGGTAGCCACAACACCCGATTGGTAGGTCCCTCGTTGCTGGGTTTAATCTGGCCAATGGGGTGCAGTCTAAACGGATCGAGCGACCTATATAAACCCATGCACGTGTCCCAGAGCTTCCTCTTTCGGCTCATGCATCGGAACACCTGCCCACCTCTCCCTAATTTAGGGCATTTTACAATTGACCTTGCTGTGCCGTTGTGTGTCATCTGTCGTTGGGACAGGGGCATGGCAGGAATTTTCCCCACTTGGCTGCTTGGCTGTAGCCATTTGGGTTTTGCCTGCCACGTAGCAATTTGTCACAACTTGTAAGGTTGCAGATAGGCACTGGTTCATGTGATAGGGATGGGAGAACGGTCTCGCCATTCCTATGTGAAGGGTATTCCGTTAAAGGAATCCAGGGACTCAACTTGGTTTGGTCAACCCCCGTAAGGGGGTTGTGCCCGTGCCTGAGTCCAGGGGAGCATCTGGGGAGTGAACAGAGTCTGTTCCCAGGCTTTTCACCTGCCTCAGGTGTTCACCCTTAGCTGACCTGGGTCAGCGCTACCTGCAAGGGTGTAGGGAGCTAGTCGAACCAGAGCCTATGCAACCACTCACTTTTCTGTAATCAATAAAGTTGTGGCCTAAATTCTGCCAAAAACCAAAACTAAAATTTGAGTCAAATGTGTCTTTATTTAGGGGGGAGGTCTCTGGGTCTGAACACAGAAATATTTTTAAAGTCCTCATTCATCAGCGTTTCACTGCTAATTGCTCCTAATAAACACTTTCTTTTTTTTTTTGCAAAGCAATTTACATACATGTATGTATGCATGTATGCTACTGAATGCAGCTGAACAGAGTGAAGTAGTGTCTGGGATTGCAGGTGGTTGAAGACCTTTGACTATTTCTGTAGCAGAGACCCTGTCTCTAGCCTGCAAGAGGCATCAAACCAAGGGGAGCTTTTTAGCCACTGTGTGCTCCAGAGAGAAGTACAGTATTTAGAAGCACTGGAAGCACTGGGTGCTTCTGTTTCAATTTAAGTCACTTCGAAAGAAGATATCAGAGCACTCCAAATCATTGCCCATGTGCAGGCACAGAAAATAGTAGATCTAGCTGAAAGGCATGGAGAAACTGTTGCAAGGCAATCCGAATTATTATTATTATGGTATAATGGTATCATTAGGTTGCAAGATCTTAGAAGGGGTGTAGCTGAGAGGGGACATGGCTATGGCTACCATGAATTGATCCTGAATTTGCCACTACATCCCTGATCTCCTCTCTATTGGTATTCCACCATCTCTCTCTGCTTAGCTCTACCCTAATTCCCATTCTCTGCTCATTTTAAAGGTAAAGGTAAAGGTACCCCTGCCCGTATGGGCCAGTCTTGACAGACTCTGGGGTTGTGCGCCCATCTCACTCAAGAGGCCGGGGGCCAGCGCTGTCCGGAGACACTTCCGGGTCACATGGCCAGCGTGACAAAGCTGCATCTGGCGAGCCAGTGCAGCACACAGAACGCCGTTTACCTTCCCGCCAGTAAGCGGTCCCTATTTATCTACTTGCACCCGGGGGTGCTTTCGAACTGCTAGGTTGGCAGGCGCTGGGACCGAGCAGCGGGAGCGCACCCCGCCGCGGGGATTCGAACTGCCGACCTTTCGATCGGCAAGCCCTAGGCGCTGAGGCTTTTACCCACAGCGCCACCCGCGTCCTGCTCATTTTATATTGTCTCAAAGACAGAACACAGAAATTGGCGTTTATATATATGGTGGCAAACCCAATTCGCCCACTCACAAAAGGCAGCTTTCAGCTTCAACATCTCTAGACTCATCATTTCACAGTATTTTAATATTCACCAGTGGCTCCTTCAACACGAAATGGAAGATATCCGAAACAGTGTCTATCTCATTGCTTACATTTCAGGGGGTGTATTTACTTAAGCTTTCAGAAAAAGGTGAAAGTATATCACTGTACAAAAAAACAAGAGCAC